CTAGTCGCATTAGACTTAATATTATGTATGTTGAAGGTACAAATGAATATTGTTTTTTTAAAAAGATATTTAACATTATTACAAGATCAAGTAGATTTTCCTAGTTGATCTGACCAAGACCATTACATCATATCAAATCCATTATCGACTAATGCTGAACACAACAAAGAAATAAAATGAAAAAAGAAATTTTTTCATTTCAGTTATGTCTATCAAGTGAAATCAAGTTTAATTTAAATTACATCAATACATTCAATGTATATATGCCGTTGTGTTATAGAATTCTTTTTATGTTAAATGGTTGCAATTGAATTACGAAAGAATTAAACTGTTCAGATCTTTCACAAATATTAACATTACAGCAGACAACAATTGTGGATTACAAATGATAATTAAAAAACAACTTTTCGATAGCGTATCGATCTTGATTGAAGTGAAATATCTCATATTGAACAATTAACATTGGATAAAATAGATTTTCTTCTCATATTTTTATTACAAATTTCAAATGAAATAAAAGATGAGAATGAATACTTATCGATTAAACAATTCAATAATAAATATAGAATGTTATATTGATTAAAATCTTCAAAAAAAAAAAAGAAATTGAAACTATTGAAGAAGAAGTTCTTAATCAAAGTCAATCAGCAACAACAAATGGTATTAATAATGATCACCTTCATCAATTAATTCATTTATTAAAAGACAATTAAATGAAGCATCTGGAACTCTTCTTTTTTTTTCCACTAGCACCTATTCATGACTGAAGAAAAAGATATCTATTCAATTGGTCAATCAGAATATTAATATTTAATTGAATATATCGATGGTCGTTGTAGAGTGTATTTTATAAGGAATGGGTTGCACCATAGCTTTATCGTTGTGCTTCATGTCTACTTTGTCGATGTAAATTACTAATAATCAATGTGAATTTTCATGATGAATTTGCTTCGTAATATCTTATTTAGTACTAAACTATTCTGTTTTATGTTCTCACTTTATTATAAATACTTATCAATTAGTTGATTATTTACTAAAACGAATCTTCTGTTAACATTTAAATATTTTAATTAATAAAAGATCATAGAAATTTTATTTTTTGTTGCTCAAAAAATTTGAAATTTCGTCCGAAAAATAAAAAAATTCAAAAGAGCAAATAAAATAACCCTAAAAAATAATAATGGAAATAAACTAAAAAAGAATTCTGAGTGTATATGAATAAAAAAAAAAGCTATGTGAATACGAACATCATACAACTCTATCGCATTCGGATTGAATTGAAATCTCTGATTTACTCTGTAGTTCGATTATGTTCTAATGTGAAATTTAAAAAAAAAATCTTACAAAAAAAAACTCACTTTGGAATATTAATAATTATTTTCTTTCTTCTATATAGAATTTAATTATATTGCACATATTTGTCTCACTTTACTTTATTAAATACCCCCCATAGAATAGAAACTCAGTGGGCTTCTAATTTGTTTCGAAAGTAAAAAGTTTGAAGTGGGCTTCTATTGCGATCAACTTTTTTTTCTGCTGTAGCTACGATTCAATTAGCTGACAACTATATAAATTTTCAAATTGTGCGACCAGTTTCAGAATAACTCTAATAGTTTTTGTAGAGTCAGAGATTAACTGTCGGTTCTATCTCGGTTTCCATACTATTAAGTAAATCAAGTAATGAGTTCTTTGCATTACTTTTCATATCCATAGCTCATATATCTCCAATACTTGATTGATTCTAATATGGATACGAATAATTATGATCAATACAATATTGTAGCTACGAAATTGTTAAGCTTTGGAGAAGCTAGAAAGAAATTCTTATTAATTATGTACCGATATGATTTTGCTGAACGATTTCATTGCATAATTCAGAAGTGAAACGAGATCTATTTTGATTATTTTAACCGATATATAAAGTAAGCCTCTGATTAGAAAATACGAATTTCTTATTATGGAGAAATGGTTAGTTCAAATCTTATAAGTGTTATAATAATCGATATTGTATCATCTTACATTAATTATTATGATCGAGTCCAATAAACATTTACGTAATTTAAACCGACCATCGTTCAACTTTGTATGATGTTTCATTTTTTAGTCAAGAATTATTCTAACTAAATAATATGAATTCATGCCTAAAATCCTATTCTACAGTTGTTCGACAACTATCTTTAAGTAGTACGTATGCATAAGCATTTTTCAAGTCACAAAATAAATTGATGTATTCGTTACTATAGAGCATATACTTAATTCAATATTGAGAAGCAATGAGCTAATCTATCCAATTTTTTATCTTGCTTATTTAGTGCTCGGGTCAGACACAATAGGGTTTTATTATAGATTGGACTTCTATTTTGTGTGGACGTACATAAAATCGTTAAAATAAATTCTACTGAAATAAATATTCAGAAAAGATAACCAATTAAAAAATTGATTTATTTTACCAACAATGCAATTGACATTAAAATATACTGCAGATTTTAGAACAAATGAAGATCAGTTTTGAAATTCATCATCTATGCTTTCACTCATTAAAATAATACCGAATAAGTAATAAAAATGGAGAAATAATCTATGCGAATCAAAACTATCTTCACAATTAAACAAGGACATATACATAATAAAGAGCTTACTCAAAATTCTACCATTAATACTCTGATATTATAATATGAAAGATTATAATATAAGTATAATCGATATGAAAATTTTCTTACATAACTATTTCAAGATGAAACAAAATGTTTGTTCTCACAAACGAGAGCTTTATTCTATTCGAGTCTTTTATTTTGAATAACCTCTTATTAAGCATTGAAAATCTATACCGAAGTAGTCACTTTACTCAATCATGTGAGGCCTTTTTTTTTTTTCATCAACATAATTCTTTTTTGTATATAGATAAAATTCTAAAACAAATTTTATTCTTGGAAGTGAAATGAATAATATATAATCTTGTTATACCACTAGACATACACTATCTTACATTGAAACAAATCATATATATATATATGAAATGAACGAGAAAAAAAACTATTAGAGAAAAGCAATTCATTTCAATCAGACTACTTTGTCGTATAAGTACTTTATTGTTTAATTATCAATATATTTTCATTATCATAGATTGAAGGCCATTTAGACTAACAAAATCAAAATCAAAATCAAAAGAAAATATTTCGACTTTAAGAATTTAAAGTATACAAACATTGATTTTTCTTTCTTTGATTTCTTTTCAATCAATAAAGTTGCAAGGACAAGTTGGCAACGTTGTTCAACCAGTATCTGATTGAAAAATAATAAATTTTACGCCTTTTGATAGGTATCTACTATTCACTGTCGTCTATATAAGAAAAAAAAAAAGAAGAGAATGCTCGATATACGGCTTCTCTCGTTCCTGTGTCGTCATCTTCTATTTAGAAAATCTAAAGAGAGAAGAGAAAAAATGGACGACGGTACTCTTTTTTTTCTTTGTTCTGCTCTGTCGACATCAGTATGCTAGGTGATGTTGGTGGTAGCAGTGATGACATTACAATTTCGAGAGCATGTATTTACACGAATAATTGAAATCTTAAAAGAAAAAGAAGAGAAAAGAAACGAGATTACCACACAAATTTTTATACACAGCGAGATCTGCATAGTAATCAGCAGCCAACTACACTGACTCACACATTCTCGCTCTTATTCTTGTATAGAAGCTGATAATCAGATATTAGATTATTTTTTTTTAATAAATAATTAGCAGCCAAATGCGATCGAGTGAAAACTATCATCAACAAAATCAAGTCGGGATAGTAGCAAGTAGAAGAAGGTACGCGCTAGAATATAGTAGCATTACTAATTCTTAACTAATAGTTTTTTAAAATTAATTATAAAAAGAACATATATATATATATTAGAAAAAAAATCTAATCTTTATTTTAAACGATTTTCTTAATAATTATAATTTGATAATGCTTATTTTTGACACATCTTTCCGTTATATACGTTTAATTATATATTCAGGTGTTGCATTAAAGCGGAGAATAATATTTAAGCAAGGACATATGTTGCCAAGCACACTAGTGAAAAAAAGTAGTGTAAAATAATTATAAACAAAGAGTGTCGGATCGTCCGGATGTAGTTATTGATGCTATGTAAAAGAAAGAAATTGAAAAAAGAAACAATGACATGAGTCTATGAAGAACAGATGTTTGCGTATGTATATATCTTGTTCGATTGAAGAACTTATTGAACACATCTGGCAATATAAAAATTCTTTCTCTTCTTATCTTTTTTTCGAGACATGGCATTTACTGGTTTGTGTTTTAGTTTCTTACTTTTCCTGGCACACACATATACATACAAATATTTCAACGAGTAGAGCTGATAAAAAATAAATGAGTCCGTTGCCTAGTGTCTTGACACCTTAACTTTTTTTTCTTTCTTCTTCCTTTCTTCAGTTTGTTCCACAAAATGATTCTAATGTTCATCATGGTCGATGTATGTGTGTATGTGACGTGATAGCAGCGTCTTTTTCTTTTAAACATCCGCCTGCCGGATATCCTGTCATCTTTAATCTTTTTTTCTTGTTTGCTTTGAGAGAAAATGGAGCAATTTTTAACTTTGGTCTTATTCAATCCATAGGCTTCCGTTTGATTCAACTTCTGCTCGCATGTCATCATCGACAGCACCGAAGCGTGTTCTTTCCAACACATTTCGCTATCCACAATCTAATAATCGCCAGGAGATTTTTCTTCATAATTCTTCATCTTCTTCGATTACAGAAGATGAAGGGAATAGTGATGTAAAAATGTTTCATGAAACCATTCCTGATAATGGATTAGGTGAAACAGATAGACGTAAAAATACTCTTATGAATGGTCGTCATTTATCAATGAATAACCACAATAACAAAAAGGATACAGGTGGTCCAATGATTCAAGAATTAATTCAATCAAACATGGATCTTAAGTAGGTACTCAAGAGAGGAAAGAATGTATTTAATGTATTTTTGAGATCCACTTCATTTTTTTCTTTCTTTTCAATAGAAAAGAAATTCGTGAAATCCGCCGGCAATTAAAGCATAATAATGGAGCAAACAAACAACGTATTGATCGTGTAATTACTAGGACAAGTAGTTCAAACAAAGTGAACGTAGGAAATTTTAATAACAAAAAAGCAGAAAACAATACTCAATATTTAGGTTTTGGATGATGATGCTTGTTCTTTTGTACCTCCTGAACATGATTATTATAATGATTCATCAGCAACATTATCAAAATTACAACAATATAAAACAGAAGCAACAGTAAGATTTTTTTTTTTCAATAAAAATTACTTACATAATATTGTTTAGGCTTATAAACAACAACTTGATGCTTGTCAAGAAACAATAGCTCATCTTCGAAAGACAATTGATTCAATGGAAAAACGAATTGAGCAATTGTATATAAAATTTTATTACATTTTGTTGTTATAAATATTCATTTTTAGAAGAACAATTGAACATCGACAAATAACAAATGCATCTGATCAAAACGAAAACTATACGACAACTGCAAATAATAATAATAATAATAATAATACAGATCATCGAGTAAAATATTTTTATTTATATTGTCTTTAACAAAAAGTGTTTTCTTCAAAGGACAATACCGAAGTTTTTTTTTTGCCAGTCTTTATGAGAAAGACTCAAAGATTGGTTCTAGTTATTGCTTTTCAAAGTACTATTTCTCGCCAACGATGCGCTCATACATTCGATTAAAATAGATCACGAAGATAGAGTTTGAGCGGTCATTGATGACTGCTGATAACATGTGTAACATTGGATATCTATCGTTTACTCTAATTTTATATAGCTGACATTTCAGTTTTAACAGCAGAAAGGAGTTACGTCGGTTTGGATCTATAGAATATGCGCGATCGACATATATGCTCATGTGGTTTTGTGCGCAAAATCCATTGAGAGTCTGGAATGTTCATAGTCTTGTGTTTTCATAGTGAAAATTAAGACTTTAAACACAAATCTTTTATTTCTCTTCTGATGTAGTTGAAAAACTTGTGCTAAGCAACTATTGACAGGTTAACTTCTGTCTACTAGATCCCAATAGCACGAGCTCGTGATACAAGATTGAAATTGATCTATTCAAATCTTTTTAGTAAACGACGAGACGATTGAGCATGGCACTATTTTCAATCACCAACGAGCTAATAATCCACTTATCGAACATAAAACTTCGTAGAACTTTAAACAAATAGAAATAATTGTTGAAGAAAATATACTCTGACGGTCTTCTATTAATTTGTATGTTCAGTAAGAGTTCTCTTCAATTATTGTTCGTACAGCATTAATTGTATCTGCGTAAACAGCAGCTGAAAGACAACCCGAATTTCTTCGGTTAAAATTCCAAAAGACTATCGCGAACCATCTGATCTCTAATACTTTTAGATACCACTATGCCTTTACTAAAATGGTATGGCTTTCTTTGCACATTGAATCAATTTTCTGTTCATATAAAATTATATTTCGAACTCGTTCTTGTGAGTCATTTAAAAAAATAACGTCTGACTAACCTGAAAGAAGTGTAAGAATAAGACGTTGTACGACTGAAATTTTTGTACATAATCCTAAATATGTCTATGCATTATAACAGACTATTTGGTCTCAATATACAGCTTCTAGGAGAATCAGACAAAAGAATTTTCGTAGTACTCTATGTGATCATCATTTGTAAACAACTTGATTTTTCAAAAGATTGATATTAAATAATCTGTTGTGTCTGTTTTAAGTTCATCCATGAACTATTTCATTTATGTATTAAATATGCACCACGATCATCAAAATCAAAAACAACAGCTCCCAGTCATCAAGATATGAAGACATTTATACGACAAACATTTAATAATTTTATCACAACACCATCTCCATCTAAGGTATAAGATTTTATTTAATAGTATCTTTGAAATACTGATTGTGTGCGATAAACGGCTTGTTTAAGTGTTTCTATACGTTGACGTATTTGAGGTTTTATTAAATTTGTACCTTGTCTTAATTCAAAAGGAACATTAGTTGATGATAAATGAATAACTTGATTATTATTTTGATTAATATGAATAAATGATGTAACTGAATATTCTTTAGAAATATTTAGATGAATATTAGATTTTGCTATACAACGACCAGTTATTGAACGTGGTAAAGGAAGAACATTGTTAATTAAAGGATGTTGTTCATTAAATGATGAATTTTCTTGCATTATTAAAAAAAAAAACAATTTTATTCATTTATTTAGATAAGCGCCAACAAAAATCAAGACATCGGTCATTTTGTTTGTAAATGTTCAGATCGAGTAAGATTTCATTTCTTTTTCATTGTTTTTCAAATCACTTTTCATTTTTAATTAAGATTCATACTGAACATCGTCCAACGTATCAATATTGTCTTAGTTTAATTGAGCAATGTCAATCTCTGTTTGATGTAACATGTTTTACACAATTACCAACAGCACTTAATGAATTATATTATCGACATGGCGAATTAACAAATTTTAAACGATCAATTGCAAGTACACTTGGTGTTTTAGGTATGAAAAAAAAAAAATCATTAAAAAAAACAAATAGAAAAAATTATTTTTGTTGAATTTTATATAGAAAATTCGAGATTGGTTAGTTGTCCAAAATTAATTAAGACATTACAACAAACACTTGATGATACAAAATCAAATGAATTAATTACATTTAAAAAAATGGCAAAAATTAATGATATGAACGAGTAAGAATAATCTATAACTCTACTCACAATGTACTTATTAATTATTTGTATAAAGAATTTCTCGATCACCTCTTTCAGATGATGATAATAATTTATGAGATAGAGTACAATAAAAGCTAAGATAACTATCTTTTCGTCTCCCTTCAGATCTATTATAACATAACAGGAGATTGGACAGTTTTTAGACAAGATGTTTGTTCAATTTTGACCTGCTAGAAAATATTTTCGACGAGTCAAAAGCTATAATTTTGTGCTCTCTTCGAATATAGACTTAGAAATGATGTGTCTATTTTTGTTAAAGAGTAGTGAAGGACTTTTTCAAAGATTTGAAAAATTATTTCTAATAGTGAGTTAACAGATTTTTGTTAACTTTATAAGTTCGTTTTTGAACATGGTAAACATAGTCGACGTTGGTCGTTTTATACAGCAGACTCTTCTCTACAAAATATGATATTGAACTAAACTGTAGCTTTTACTCAAGTGAGGCTTCAAGAATTTCTCAAGAGCCCTTTTCGACTTGAAATGATTATTAATCTTTCACAAAGTGAAGGTTTAAAAAGAACGAAAATTGACATACTTTATCGAAAGATAAAAATAACTTCAAATAGTGCATTTTATAGGGTATCTTCTAGTTAATAATCTGATATATAAATAAAGATCCCAACTTTTAGTTTCGAATCGCAATAGTCAAAATACAAAAATTTTTCATGTAAACAAATTATTTACCTTTTCAAAGATTATTTCACTACTATCAAAAAAAAAACTTCTGAATCCATATTAGAAAAAAGCACAAATTCATAGGTTTTGATTTGTTGGAAATACGTTCTAGTAGGTCAAAAGTGAACAAACTTCTTGTCTGAAAATTTTTCGATTACTCGTTTTTTGCTTTTATCATCTCTATTATATCGCCGGCATACGTTGATAGTTTGAACTGAATCACAAATGAAAAAAAAATATATTGTTGAATCTTGTCATTTTGTTACATTTTAATATCATAAGGATGATACTGATAATTATTTCGAACTAATTTTTTTTACAGAGCTGTTTCAAAAATTCGTTCATATGATGATTTTGTACCTTATTATCATCAATTCATTGAACAAATGGCCAATTTACTCGGTACGAAATAATCTTTTAAGAAAAATTTTAAATTTTGTTTTTCAGAAGTGTCAAAAGGTGATGAAATAATGCCAGCTATAAAAACACTTAAATTACTTGCTCATGGTGAAAATGATCGACCTAATAGTAGTACTCAACGATCTCATTCATTATTACGTACATCATCATTAAATATACATAACAATATGCACGAAAAAAATTTAACACATTCAAAATCACTTCGAGTACTTTCGTCTAGGCCGGATATTGAAGAAACAAATATTAATCAATTTCATAGTTCTGGAAAACAAAATGACGATAGTGAACAACATGCTGAAACAGATGATGGAGATTCTTAATTAATATTGTCTATGCTTGTTTGTTTGTGTGTGTGCTTGTGTGTGTGTGAATTTAGAATAGGTGCTTTCGTTTTCTTTTTTAATGTATCTTATAACTTTAATTCTCGATACAAAAAAGTCCACATATAATTTGAAATTTTGTCGTTTCAAATATTTATTAGTATTCAATTATTTGTAATACTATGCCGTATAGAACATATTTGTACTGTTAAACATAGACATAGCGATGTTTTATTACGACAAAGCAATTTATCAATTTAGTTTTCCATATATTTAATCGGTACGTGAGAAAATATAGAGAAATTCTTATAAGAACATTGAATGAAGGACATAAATCTTGAAATTTCTACAATATTTATATTTTATGTTATGTAGCATGTGATATAATAAAAAGAAGCGAAGAGTACTTATGATCAATTGATGAAATTCAAAAATTTACACAATCAGACCACTTGATTGGAAGACTTACATTTTTCTTCTTCAGTTTTTTTTAGCGATTTAATTAAGAAAAATCTAATACACTTCAATCATCAAATTGTTCAGCAACTCATTAAAAATTAATGAATTTCAACTGAACTGTGATATATTTTACCAAGGACTTTTTTGTTGCAGTGCTTTATTACTTAACTATTCATCATGATTTACGTAAGTACTTTTGTTAGAACAACATTTCAATGAACTTGAAGAATAATGAAAAATCAAAATCAGCTTCGTTACTTATTTTTAGACTTGAATATGAATGTGCTCACAAGCACTTGAATATCAAAACAATTGCAAAAAAAAAGAGCAATCTCTCCGACGAATGCTAATTAACGAGAGAAAAAAGTTTTAGATATTTTCTAGTGGTGCTCGAGATCAAGACTGCGTATTGAAAATGATTATAAATGAGATAATTATATGAAGAAAAAGGAACATAGTAAATACCGCATCTTCATCAAACGAGAAGTGTTCGTATGAGAAAATGAGAAACTATATAAATCTATTATTTACAATGAAGAAATACCAAATATTACGAAGATTTCTTTTTTCTGAACTTGATGATATAAAGTTGGTATATTATGCCTCAGATGTTACTTATTAAGAAAATTCAATGTTTTATAAGACAAAATTCTTCAATACTACATTATCTACATACTTTCATAAGAATTACATTCAAAATTATTAAAATATTTGAAGTATCTACATAAACAAAACTTTTGGCCATAAGTCAAGTACCGTAGAAAATACTACAATCTTATCCATTGCCATAGTATAATCAATAGGCTGACGCTATTCCTAATGGAAATCTCATAATATCATATTAAACCAAAACCTAAATTTTTGTATGAGACTAGTCAAACGTCAAAAGCAAAACTTTGCTTTGAGACATTAGAAGAGAACTGATATTAACAGGATAAATTCACAATGCTTTTCTGTAAATTAGAGTACACATGTTCCTTTGAGACGATTTTTTAATTCAGCATTATTTTAAAAAATTTATGTATTTTCAATGTGATACATAAAAATGAAAATTCTAAACTATCAAGGAAGCATTTTTGAAGTTAAGATTTTAGTTTGCTTATTTGTATGAATCGGTTTCTCCCTGTCACTTTCCTACTCTCAATATACTCTTACTGAATTTATATTAACTACATATGCATCCTTTCACTTGAATTACGATTAGCATCGCTTTTGAGCTTCATTCGCATACATGTCATAATAGAGATAATAAATAACAGTATACATACATCCTAGTCTTCTCATAACTGAGCAACTGTTAACAAATAATTTTTTAGAAAAAACACCAAAATTCTTTTTTGAAAATTAATAAAGGATTCCAATGTAAGGCGATAAAAAAGATTAACGATCGTGTAGTTTTTTTCTATAATTTTAAGCAATTAACTCAAGTTCAAATACTGATTTTAATAGCTTAGAGAGTTTTCTATCTAATACATTCTATACCAAAATTTCACAGATGAACTATGATGGCCAGGTTTTTAAAAAGCCGGATACAATAGTTTTCAGATCTCAGGAGACTTTGTTGGAGCTATTTTTAACAATGTCAATTTCAAGAGCACAAGATCTTGGAAAAAATTAGCGGTTGTCACATTTTCTACAATTCTCTCTTAGAAAGTTAAACTCATTAGAAAAAGCGTACAACATTTTTTAGTCGACTTTTTGATAAATTTCGTTTTCTCTGATACTTTAACTTCGTGAGAGAAAACCGTAGATAATGCTGTAATTCCTCATTTTATTCAGAATTTTATGCTCTTTAAAATATCTTTGCTCAAAAATAGCTCCGGTAAAGTGTTTTGGAGTGTGAATACCGCTGTGTCCGGTCTTTCGGAAATCTTGGTATACAATGCATTAGATAGAAAAAACTCCATTGGCTATTAAAATCACTATCTAGATTTGTGTTAAGTGCTTAAAATCATAGAAAAAAAACCATCAAAAATAAATTGCTGTTAAACTTTTTTCATCACCTTAATTTATATGACCGCAGATTCTTTGACTTTCATGAGTTACAAAAAAGTTCAATCAGAATTTATCGTAATAAAATGTTGTTTTTATGAAAAACTTTTTAGATGTTCATTTCAAAGAAGACATCTATCTAAAACGAGACAAATTGTTTCCAAAGTACAAGAAATCGTCTTAGAAGTCTATACGAAAAAAAACGAGGAATTCTTCACTTTGCTTATTACAAATATATTTTTCTGATCACACTACCTTGATTAAATTATCAATAGGTCTCGAACAAATACTTCGATCATTGTTGGAAATAAACTACTTTAGATCTATATATAATATTAAATCTAAAATAGTGTCTTGCAACCAAGTCATTTATCTGGCACCTAAAGCCAGACCCAGCGCATGAATCCAGATGCTAACTCATCACATCGCCTTGAGTGCCAAACATGGAAAAACTGTTGCTTCAGGTCCTGAATATGATCTCATACCCGAACCCAACCCGATTGTTAATGATGTCTCGACGTTTCAAAATATTTTCACTTTTTCAAACTGCTGATTTATATAAAACCGTAGGAGAGAAAATCTCAGAAATTTGTTATACTTGAGAACAAATCACAAAAATAGAAAACGTTATTGATTTACTAAAACAAATCGTGTTTCATGAAAATTCATCTATAGATGATGGTAATCTATACGATCAAGTAATTGAATATATGGAGAGAACAATAAATTATCAAAAAAAAAGTGAATATGTGTTATCGTGACGAAAAAAGTATTCATGTATGTGTATCCAAAATTATGCAGTTTAACATCAACACTGCATTCACTCCAGTGTCATCATCAACGAACAAACGTATACTTATCGAGATTGATTAAATTTCAGAAGTAAAAAGACACAAACTGAATACTAAATCACTCGCTTTTTTATGGAATTTGAGATGATCTCTTTTTTTTGTTGGTGGTTATGGAAGAAGCTAAATATTACAGTGTTTCACATAAAGTAAAGGTTTGGAAACTGGACTATAACTGTAAAACTATCTGCTGGATGTCAACTAAGTCCAGTTCGAGTACTGAGTACAGCTATTCGAGTCCGAGTATAAGATGACCGTATCCAGATCGAACCCGTGTGTTGAAAAGTGCAAGTCTGGATCTGGTTGTGAAAAAAGTTACGCGTTCAAGACACTGATCTAAAGCTTACTTCAAGGTGATATGCTGGATCATATTTACCAGAAATTGTTAGTGATTAATCTTTTCAGAAAAGTCATTCGTTTACTTTTGGTACAAATCCAAACTGTTTAAATTTGTTGCATGTTTATATGAGATATCTAAATTTTTCGTGTAATGATATCATCAATCTATAAGAACTTCTACTGTACTTCATTTCTCGAATTAATTACACGTAGAAATTGTCTCACTCAATGTTTCACAATATTGAAGATACTGTTGAAAAATCTGAGAACCGGGATACATAAATAAATTTGTCAGAAATAATGAAAAAATTTATTCTCTTCCTAAAAATCATCTTCGGATATCTCTCATAACAATATAGATAAATATGAATATTCCATGTGATAAAATTCGTTTTTTTTTCTTTACATATATTTAGTTTAACAATAACATTCTTAAGCGATACATTCCAAAAAAAGAAAAAAAGAAGATAACAAAAGAAGTCTATGGCAAGAAACAAATTTTGAACAACATAATCAATATAGAAGATATTCTGTTTCAATGTGAAACTACTCTCAAGTATGCAATTCATAACAAAATATGTATCTAACAGTTAATTCAAATAATATGAAAAAGACTGTACAAATGAATAATACAAAATTCCAATTATATAGAATCACATTCACATTGGACATGAATATCATCGAAAATTGTTTGCAAAAATTTATCAACATATATGATAGATTAAGTTTGTAGTCGTTTTAATGAAGGCGTCTAAAATAAAAATAAATATTCTTTATTTTATTTTATTTCAAGAGAATATAATTTACTTTATCATTTTTCTTTTTTATTCCTGCCTTTTGTTTTTTTTCAGAAGAAACAGGTAATAAAATACGAGATCGTTTGTTATTATGTGGTTGATTTTCATCAGTTGATTTACGTGTTCTCAATATATTTGAAACATCTTCGTTATTACTAAAAGTTTCCAACATAAACTCGAATTTCATTCGATTTTTAATATATTTTACCTGATTGGCTCAGTAGGAAAATTATTAGCTGATTCTTTTAATTTTTTAGAATTTTCATCTTCTAAAAATAAATTATTTAAAGGCTATGTTAATCAATGCTATTTACTTGTCGATTCTTGTTCATTTTGCTCTATAAAAATACAAATTATTTTTTTTTATTACAAAACTTTATTTATACATGGTTAGACACAGTGGGACGAGGTGATCAAGAACATGTTTTTATTGTTTTTCAATGAATTTTTAGGAAAAAAATTTTAGTTTATTTTTCGATGGCCTACTTTTTCTGAAAAATAGATCAAACTTTGATAACCAATAAATTATCAAATTTTCTTCGCTTCGTACATATTTCAAAACTATTTATTGCATATTCAGCGTGACAAATAGAGTCTAGAAAAGTAATTTATAAATTACTTTTCAAGATTCTGTTTGCCACGCTGATTATGCGCCATAAATAGTTTTGAAATTTCTTAGAAGCAAACAAATGTGACAATTTGTCGATTATCAAAAATTGACCTGTTTTTCAGAGAAGTAGATCATCGAAAAAAGCTGCATATTTTCTTCCTAAAAACTCATTCCGAAAATATGAGAAGACACAAATTTTTTGATCAACTAGTTACAGTCTATCTAACTTAATATGAAAAAGAATTTTGCTTTAATTTTGAATTTCCAGTTCCTTACTTTTATCTATTAGTTCATCATTGAGTATAGAATCAAGTGGGAGTCTAAATAATAATAAAATAGATAAGAAAAAAAAAAATCATCCAATAAATTTTTACTCTTTATGAAACTGAACTCGTTCAAGTCGAACAACTACTGATCGATTGGATTCACCATGGCTAACTTTGGGAGTATCTAAATATAGTCAAAAATTTCTTCATTATATTTTAAAAAGTAAATATAACTCAATTCATACTTGTTTCTTCTTTCACTAGAGAAAAATCTTTTGATAAATTTGAATCGATTTTTTCCATATCAAATTCTGTTACATTTAATTCTATTTCACTTTTAATAATAACTTTAAAAAGAAAACAAGAAAACGTTGATAGAAACAATTTTTTTTTTCTCTCTTTGTAACATTAATACCTTTATCTTGTTGAAAAATTGAAATAGCTCTTTGAAGTTTTTCTAAGACAGGACGAATTTTTTCAATAGGAACAATTGATGATGTATTATGTAATAATAATGTTGATGCTTGATGGACAAGTTCTCTATATGATTTTATATGTTGTTCAAATATTTCTTGATAAAGTGTTAAACAATTTTGAAGTTCATTAAGTATAGCATCAGTTTGTATTCTTTCTTCTTCATATTGAACATTGTGAGCATTTAAATGAAATAAACATAATAAACGATCACAATGAATTGAACATCGAAATAATCGTACTAGCTCATGACTAGATGACGATTGTGAACATGCTGGGTCTTCACAATGTCCCAGTGCAGATATCATTTTAATCTAAAAAATTAACATTTATTTATCTTTTTTTATTCTTTCATCAAATAAAAGAAATATCAATACTTTCATCTAATTAAAAATACGAGACGATCGCTTTTTAAAGGTTTATTGATCATTTACAAAATCTAAACTTAATCATTGTTACATAATAATTCTTTACACATGTTTAATAAATAAAAGTAAATGAATAGAATTTGTCTCTAACGAAAACATACTGTAAAAAACTTTTATCAATAAACCACTTTATCATTTTTTTTATGCATCCGAATTTAGATTGTAAACAAACGAAGAATGTCACATACCGATCGATAGATACTTACATATATCGATATTTCTTAAATGAATCATCACCTGTTTCTATCGAGAATATCTGTCTGTTATTATTTTGTTGATCGTTTCAATCTAATAAGAATAGAGCATCATATGGGTAATGTCAAGTGGTATCTGTTCATAAATAATGAAAGTTTATCAATTTGAACTTTCACTATAGGAGGTAATTAGATTGTAAGCGACATCTAGATAAATTAATTTCATTTGGCTCATCTTTGTCATTTTGAATATAGAAGATAAAAATCAATGAACTATGACCGATGACATATATACGAACAAAAGAAGAAGAGATAACAATTGTTTTTCTATTATTTGAAATTTGTTCAATGAATTTTTTATGAAAAATTGCTTTTCAATTTTATTAGAAATTCATTAAAAGATAATTTTAGAGAATATTCTATTCTATTCATAGTATTAACTCTTAATAGAAATCTCTGAATACAAAATTAATCATAATTTTCATCAACAAATACAAATTTATGAAAAATGATGAAGAGAAATATCTCATTTAATTCAAACAACACTCGATGCAACATATTTTCTTTTTTCTATTTTTTGAGAAGCTGTTGCAATGTAATGAATGTCTCGGTACACAATAAATACTTGTTATTACTAAAAAATGAAATATAATTGTAATTGCTATGTAATTGTAAAGCAAGTTGTAGTATTTCTTTTGAAAATCGGTATATTTCGTCGGAATTCAGAATCGAGAAGCTTAAATAGTCATTTTATTTATGTTAAACACTTGATTGAAAATTTTTTCATTGGTCTACAAGAGAGCTGACATTAGGCCACTTTTTTTCTGGTTTACAGGCCAAACCATATCGATTGATGTTTCTGATTTTTTTAGATACATTTAATTTTATAACTCTGCATTAATATATCATTCTAGTTTCTGTTGTTCACTGAATTTATTTCCATAAAGAACAGATAATAACAAGTTCTTGAAGGAAATAGTAAGTTAAAACAAAGAGACAATTATCATAAAAATTATTCATATAAGAAATGCTTGAATTAAAGTTATGCTTTTGATTGTATTAGTACTATTTCGTCTAATGGAAAAAAAGTAATGATGTTAGGGAAAATAACAGATGATCAGGCATACTACGAAGAGATGAAAGAAAATGCACAACGAAAACATAGGCGAAGAAATATACTTATTATAATGCTCAAGGATATTTACATTTAACAATGAACTTTTGCAACAACACGAATTCAAAGTTTACTATTCAATTGTTTTAGATCTCAACAAGTTGCTCCATCAGTCAATGTAAGTTCTACAACATTAAATTGACGTTCAATTCAAGCATTTGTTGCTGTAATTGAATGAATCTATCAAAGTACTCTCAAATAATAAAGTCATGCATCAATATTTGATTATTACAACGTAAAAGTCAAGTCAGCAGTTTTGATCCTTAACAAATAAAATTGTATTAAATTTCTCTCGAGTAGATTTTGTATTTTAATGAATAAAGTTAATTAATTTAGAAAACAAAACTTGTGAATATCTAAAACTACTATTTATGTTCAATGTCACTTAATGGATTTGTATTTAATTTAAGTGTCAAATCTTCATTTAGTTGATCATTAATATTATTTGATGAAATAAAATCTGATTTATGATTATGAATATATGGTTGTGTTTGTTCTGTTGTTGAATTATATTTGACAATAATATTCATCATTTTATGTGATGATTGTTCCTCATTTACATCATCATCAAGATTATTATCGTTCATATGTGTTAATTGTTGATATGAATCAGCTGTAAATGTTGGGAGTTTTCGACGACGACGATTAAAAGAAAATTTACTGAAAATATTTATTATGAATAATCGTCGTTGATGTGTTGAAAGTATATAAATACATCCTAAACCAAGTATAAAACATATAAAAATAAAGATTAAAGATGAAGATGATAAACTATGTTGACTATTATTCATTAATTGAGAATTTTGTTGACACATTCCATTTGGAATAAAAATATTTATTTCTCCTTGCATTTGATGACAATTATGAATTTGTTTATTAAATGAACATTTATTTTCTTCATGTTCTATATCATCAAGAGACATATTAAAATAACATAATGGTGTAAGATCTTTTAAAACTAATGGATTAAGTATATGACGAAGACGACGATATAAATAAAAGACTGAACATGAACATAGATTATTTGATAAAATTTTAATTGGTATATGTGCTGGTATATCAACAATTCGACATAAATCATTATCAGTTAATATTCGATCAAGAATTTCTAAACGTTCTAATGTTATTGATTGATTAAAACGAAAATAAAAGTCTGTTGAATTCATTATTTGAAATAATATTTCACCACCTTGACCTTATTGAAAATATAGAGAAAAACAAAAATAAATTTTATACGAAAGTAAAATATTTAAAAAAGAATTACCTTCATTAATATTAACAAAAGCATTTGTTGCCATTTGTAATGTTCCATATGAGTATTGAAAACCAATACGCAATATACTCGAACGCCATATATCAATATTTTGAATAGCATTATCTTCAAATATTAAATTTTTTCCATATTTTATCCAAATATCAAGTAATGATCGATCTTCCTGATGAAAATAATTTAATGATTGACGAGTAAAATAAACATCTAAAGAATTTGTAATAATAATTGATAATTTTGATTGTGCACGTTGACTTATATTAACAAATGTATTTGGTTTAAAAAGAATATTTTTTCCATAATCTATTTCGAATTGAAATGTTGAATTAATGTCTTGTTTTATTTGACTGAATGTTTCAGCAGGTAAACATAAATCATTTGTTATATTATATATTGAAAATACAATTGAAGATTTTACTAAAAATAAAAATAAAAAACAAAATTCTTTTTTTAATTGAAGAAAAAACAAAATAATAAGCATTTACATTGAGTTATTGTATCGAATACAGTTTTCTCGATAGATATACTTTGAAAATTTGAAAATGTTAAATAAAATTGTGATTGTTCAAGTTGATGAAGATCAAAAAAAGATGTATGACCAAGCATTGCATATTGAAAATGATCAAAATTTATTCGTAATTTACTCGAATGTTCCTGTGTTATATGATCAAAACTATGTTCATTTAATAATACTCGAACGAAATTTGAAACATAAAATTCCATTATTGCATAAGATGGTAATAAAATTGAGCCTAAAAGTTAAAATAAATGATTTTCAAAAAATAGAATAATAACTAAATTACCTGCATTTGATTGAAATTCTATTGTATCTTTTAAATAAAGTATTGAAAATCGAAATTCACTTTCATAACTATATTTAATACCATCAAATGCATACTGTTCTACTGTTAATAATGATGATGTTACATTGAATATTTCAATATCAATTTTAGATTTTGGTTGCATTGATATTTCATCAAATATTCTTGTTGGTATTCTTGATGATGCATATTTAGATATTTTAATTGACAATGTTCGATCTTGATCAATATCAATTTTCGAAAATGTATTTGATGATACACCATTCAATTGAGCAAATTGTATTGTAAAGGATTTATTACTATCATAATCAAAGAAATTATAATAACGAAATGATTCTGATGGTAATATATTAACATTTTCATCAAAAAATATTGTATTATAATGATTACATGTATGACATTTATTAGGTAATGATGAACATTGAATATATCCATGTGTTAAACTACATGTACATCGATGACGTTGAAGATCTTCATCATTGGGACAAAATGCATTAGTTTTAGTAAAACAGCTAAACAACAAACACCATGACCACCAAGTTATGAATAAGAAAAGCATGTTCATATATGCGTGTGTTCGTCTGTCGATCTGTCTGTCTGTCTGTCTGTCTACTTGTATGTAGAAATATATATATATATATATATATACGGGTGAACAGCTCAAGTGTTGGATACGTATGTGTATGAAATAGAAGCGGTCAATTTTTTACCGCACATTCTCTTTGTGAGACAGAATGAACGAAAAAAAAAAGAAGTAAAGAAAGAGAATAAAGAATTGAATTGATTTTACTTTGAATTTTGTTTCTTCTCTTCACTGTTGATCAGTTGTGTACGATAACATCTGATTTATGACCTAATGTCTATTAACAAACTGATGCCCTTCATACAATCAACATGAATCTCATTTTTCTTTGCTTGTGCTAATGACCATTATAAATGTGCATGTCTTTTTCTCAGCTGTAGGAAAATAATCATCATTATTTGTAAAGCAAAATGTGTAAAGCATATGGCTCAATCAGACAATCCCTATGAAATCTTTGAATTTTTTTCTTTTTTAAATAGCTTTGTAATAGGCAAAAATTTCACTGTGTAATTCTGTTTATATCTCTTTTATTTGAACAAATATGAAGCTGAAGGTCGTTTTTATTTCATGAGGGAATACGATGTTGAGAAAAAAAAACTTGTCTGTTGAGTTTTCGAAACTATTTACTCTGCCATTTAACGTTAAGTGGTGCATAAAATGCAAAGCCTACCAAGTGGAAAAATCTTACGAAATTGTACAAATATCTTATCGTAGAATTTAATATTTATTTTACTATAAAATTCTTGCAAAGTCTAATGATCGGAATATTGTAAGACCTTATAAGATTATAATTTTAGATTTCACTTATACAATCTGTTTTGATAACAATAGTTTTATGCATTTGAATAAATATTTAAGCGATTCAATACGTTCTACTTTAGACACGACTTTTTTAGTATTGAAAATACATCTTATATGTAGTGGTGTTGATCTGCTAAAAAATGATCAACGTCTATTTCAATTTTATATGGTATTA